AAAACTTTTTATGAAAATTTAATTTTAAATTTTAAAATCATTTTAATATATTTTTTTTTAATCTAAAAAATCAAAATTGTTAAAAGTCTCAGTAATGCATCAAGAACTTTTTACAACTTTTACAATAAGATAAAGTTTACAGAAAACAATCTTAATAAAGAAATACGCAAACTCCAACAGCTTACAACAGTGATAAAAAAAAAAAAAAAAAAAAAAAATTGTTACGATAGCAACATGTATATTATGAATTAATACACACTATAGCTAGACATACATACATACATACATATATGTATATAGATGAGAGCATTGAGTCCGGTTAGTCAGCAAATGTCGTACGATTTAGCAATGAGCAAGTGGGGTATGCCTCAATCGTCTTATATAGATATACAGACATATGTCGTATATAGCCAATGCCCAACTCACACAATTGGGCAAACACACATACATGTAGCTAATTATATGAGAGACGCCACATTTTATGCGGCAAATAACATGGCAACACGAAGAGGACTCGAGTCGTTATACAGAGGGACAACAGCAGACAGTTACAGTTACACATAGATGTATAGTACATATATACATATATATAGAGGGGTTCCGTATATCAACCCTCACACATGGGCAATTTGACTGGGGTTTTTCTTTTTGCCAAATATTTGCACTCTATTCAAATTAACTTAACTTGTATTCTTATTTTAATAGCTGGCTTTTGCTTTCATAGTACATATGTTGATTGAACGGGCTGGGTCAGGCTTATATTGTTGCTAGGGCTTAGACTTGACACTGATTATTATGCAGTCTGCTGTTGAGCATGTGCAGTCCATTATTTGCATACATGTGCACTGAGCGAAAATGCGTTGTCTTAACAATAAATGTCAAGAATATTTTTAATATCTATATATTTAGTTATTCCCCCTAAATATATAAATGTATCTTCAATTCTTTAATGATTCAACATTATCTGTTGCACCTATAATGTCTGCAGGTGTGATTTATCAATGGCGCCAATAAATCTTATGCAGATAACAATTATATCAACGGCTTTCTGGTCTATACGGGTGTACGTTTAGTGCCTGATTTTTATTTTAGGTCGCAATTTTTAAAGTAATATAAAATCCATTCAGATAAGCATTCCTCAGAATTAGACTTTAGACCAGAGTCTTGGGTACTAATTTTATGAATGAGCCAAGCTGCCTGGTGCTGCTATCTTTGTCCATCATGTGCTTCCATATTATCTACAAATTCCAAGTTGAGGCTGATTCATGTGCACCTACTTTGTGCCTCTTCTTATCAACTTGCACTGAAGACGCACATTATCGGTAGCAATATCATATCATTCACAAAATGCGCACGTTTTCCCTTCTTGCTTTGCATACACGAGACAATGATAAGATAAAATAGGATAAGATAAGATATAATATCATATAATTATAGGAAAAAAACTTTTTCATTATTCTGAAGATTATCAGTAATAACACTTACCGACTTGTCTGTATATCACACGCTCTTGCATATCACATGACACTCCCCATGCCCATCGATCATCAATATAAACTATCTTTCAATTAAAAATTCATTTTCCTCTTTCGTTCATTACAGTTCACACTAACGCCATGTCGAACACAGAGAAGGGAGGCCTGCACCGAGTGCAAAGTAAGTAGAATTAACGACAATTTATTTGACCGTACCGCTGTGACAACAAGTCGAGCCCCTTTTCTGATAAGAGAGAGAAAACAAACTATAGTCAATTGAAACAACAAATTACACGCATTGACAATTCAGTTATAAACAAATTGATTGAATAGGGGACCGGCCCTCATCCAATATAGGCATACATATAAATGGGCTATATATCGATTTTTTTTGCAACTGTTGACAATTCTCGATTGGTGTCAAATGGAGCAAGTTTAATTGAGGTTACAAATCAATTGAGTGTTGCGCTTGAATAAACACAAATTGAACTCTTTTTGAAGGGTATTCGCTTAGTTTAATTTCGATTCAGCATTTGTTCTCAATTTCCGTTTCTAGTTTCGATTTCAAATTAGTTTATTTATGTGCTAAATAATTAGAAATTTTAATTTGTTATAAAGTATCTCTATACTACAATATAAAATTTTAAAAATACTTATACAAATTTCCTATTTGTTCTAAAAAAAAAAAATTAAAATTAACTATAAAA